GTATCAGGTCAACTAAACATGGCCATAGTAAATATTTTTTATACTATATTTATCCATTTTCAATACATTACACTCACTCCTTTATAACAACTAAGGGAAAAATGTAATTAACTCAGAAAATCTCTTCAGGACCCCACCCTGATGTTTCGGGACCCCACTTTGGGTCCCGACCCCACCTTTGGGAAACACTGCACTGGAGGACCCTGTGAAAATGACTAAATGTTTGTCATATTATACGTAAGAACAACACAGCACCATTAGGCCTTAATAATCATCTCCTACTTTAATATTGCATATGACTGGAAGGTCCTATCACCCACTGAATAATTATTTATTATAAAATGCAAAGTGTAATATAATATCCTCAATGCTTCTGTTTATGCCCTCATTTTAGTTACCTACAGATTGGCACCAGGAGGAAGAGGATGAGGCAGGCTCAGCCACTGCAGGTGAGACAGGTGTTTTGCAAATATCCTCTGCAAAAGTCATGTTTTAAGATAATGTGCTACACTCTTGTTAAAGGCAAAACAATGCACCACTATACATGCACTAAGGCATTTGTTGTTACTGTATTGTGCAGCATAAATGTGAATCTGCTCATCTTTCACTGAATAATAATTTTAAGTGGCAAAATTTTTTTTGACTTTCTAAAAAAAAACACCAAAAGAAAAGCACCATAATTACACCTAATTTGCTTCAGTTTTTTTATTTCTATAAATATCATCTCATTTAGCTGCAAATTTTGGCTAGTAAACAGCTTTCACGATTTAGTCTTCAAGTTTCTCGAAATGTTCATGAGTGCTCTCAACTTCTACAAGTCACAGAGTAGCGCAGTCTTGTTGCTTGGCTTTTTTCTTTCAAACTGGTCATAGAGAGTCATTGTGTGTGTCTCAATAGTGTCTTGAACCCATCTTAATTTTGTTACCAGTGTCTCCAACCCATCTTAAAAAGTCCCATAGCTGTATTTGACACCTGTATGGGAGCTCTGCTCTGTCAGAAAACATCACAGGCTTTTGTCCAGGTCTAAAACTATTCTGATGACCAATAATAGATATTCCAGAAAAAAAAATGTCCTAAGTTTCTACATTTAAAAGTGTACTCAACTGAATAAAATCATAAATTTATCAAAGGCTGTAAAGTTGGGTAAACAAAATGGTCTAAGGTTGAAATGCTGTGACCTAGAATTCAAATTGTCAAGCTGTGCACACAACAATCAGTCTGAATAAAAAATGGCTCCTCAAAATCAAACCACATGGCTAACTGCTTGTAAACACCAAACACTTATCTGAGACGGATTTAGGAATTTATCACATTTTTGAGTTGCCAAATAATATCCAAAAGTCTCATAGAAGATACTATCTTATCTGATGTAGGTTTGGAACAGAAATCTTCTACTCATGCTTCAACCAGGAAGGTAAACAGATCTGGGTATTTGATGCTAAAAATGGGACACTGGACCTATTGTGTTTAGAATCTGTTATTATTTTGAAATCCACAAATCGATCACTGCAGTAAGTTACACGTTTAGCTTTTAAAATGAAAACTAGAAACATATTTGAGGCTACTATTGTAATGTAAATGATCAAATGTAACATGCTGTCATCATGTAAATGCATCACTGAATGTGATATAAATGAATATTTGTCAGCATGTTGCAAAGAGTTCACAAATGCATTTTAAGCAAGGTGTAAGGCAAAGCATTCCTCATTTGTTGTTTTCTTGTTGTCTCATTGACCATGCATTATTGATTTATGGATCATAACATCCCTCCTTTTAATGCATTTTTAATAACCAGCTACAAAGTCTCAGCTAGAGAAGTCAGGTAGCCCACATGCTTGTAAATCAACTTTGGGTTCTTGTTTTATATAAAAGGCACACCAAATGTTTCCCTTATTGGATTTTATTCTAAGATAGGCTCAAAAATGTGTAGCAAACCTTAAAAACTCTTTCTGCATTTTTGGTAGGACTTTCTATTGCCACAACATTTTAACCCTAAAGCGTCTTTTTTTTTTCTTATTGTTTATTTATTTTTTTTGAGATTTTGCAAATGGCTTTTAGCTGGAAGCTGTGATTCCCAAAGCACCCAAAATTTGCTGTAGCTTGCTAGAATTTTGTATTTCTTCCACTGCCCCACTTACGCTGCTAACTTGATGACAAATTTATGTAAACATTTATCTTGTTTTATGATGATGATTTTATGATTACGTCAAGTCCCTCCCTAATTTTTCATCAGTGCCCACCACAGAAGGTGAAAGGGTGATGATGTTTTTGCAAATGTGGATGAAATCAAATAAACTGCATCTGTTTAACTGTCACAAAGTCTGCAGGGATAATAAAACAGAAACAAAGAAGACATTTCAGAAACCCTACGATAACTTATGTGCTGTAAGAAAAACTGAATAGTCTGCAAATTTTAAAATTTCCCATCATTTCAGTCCAACTGTGGATGCAAATATATTTCTTTGTGCAGAATGTTTTTTTTTTTTTTTGCAGAAGGAGTTTTGATTTCTCTTGCAGCACTCATGCCTCAGTTGCCTGGTTGCACTCAGAGCCCAGAAGACTGTGATGTACCTCCTCCTCTATATAGGTTTTCCCCCAGGATCCATCTTTTAGCCAGGCACTGTAGGCTGCAGGCACTTTGGGACCTGCAGGGTTCACTCTTTTTAAAGGATCTCCAAAGGCTCATTCTTTTGGTGTTAAAAGAGATCAGAGACACATCATTTTCACTCTTTCTTCTTTTGTTACTTGTAGAAACTTTGATGTGTATTGATTTCCAAACAGTGGAGTTTTAAAAGAATGATGTTGTTTTCTGAAATAATTGTATAATGCCACGTGTTGTAATGTAATTTTAAGTCTAAGATGTGCATTTTTTAAACCACTGATGATCCTGTATGGGCAGTTTTGTTTAGGATCTAATATTAGGCTTAATGTTGTCCTTATCCGCTGGACAACTCTAAAATCAGGCAACCTTTATTAACCTTTATTTATACAGGTAAACTGTTTGAGAACCACTTATCATTTACCAACATGACCTGGCATGTACTGAGTGCATTGCAATATACAAACCTACACATTCAGCCATAGTAAAGCGATTGCAAATTGTAATCGCGATTAATGGTGATTGAATTTTTTAATCTATGCCCATTAGTCAGAGTTAACTCGATTAATTTCACAGCCTTAATAT